CTGGTCTCTGCCCGTGGCCCCCGGTGTGGCAGGGCAGTGTGGGGACGGGTCCTGTGGGCTGGTCTCTGCCTGTGGCCCCTGGTGTGGCAGGGGAATGTGTGGCCGGTTTCTTGGGGCGGCTAGTGGATTGTGTATACGCGTGGGGGTTTGCGGGGCTGTGTCGACTCTCCACTGCTGATTGTCCTCACCAGAATTCCACCGCTGGCGCGGAGTGCCATTTGGCCACCATGTCCTGTCTGGTGTGGCTGGCTGTGGGTTTGCTTTGGACTCAGAGCAGGCCTGGCTTTTCAGACTGCTGACCGAGCGTGTGTTTGCGTGCGAGGACGTCTTAGGTGGCCACCTTCTTCTCAGGGCTGTCAGGAGGAAGCTAGGGTCTCTTTCCTGGGTCCGTCTCGGATAGGGCCTTGTCCGTGGGGAAAGCTCGTCCTGCCTGCTTTGTGGGAAGAGCACGACAGTGTCCCAGAGGACACTGGAGGAACACAAGACCCGGCTGCCCAGCCACGGGGCTCAGGAGATAGCCTGTTCGTGCCCAGGCTCCCACCGCGGCCTCTGGGGCATCCTGTCCCGTCGGCCCCGCGGGCGGCACAGCCTAGACAGCGGCTAGGAAAGGTTCTGGCCGGGCACTGCAGGGGCAAAGGGTGGTGCCTGAGGCCGTGTGCATGGGACACGGCCCCCAGCACCCACGGCCATGTGTCCTCCCAGACTCTCCGGCGGTTCTGGAGGAGGGACGTGCTGGTGAGGTGGACTTGTCTCCTGAGCCCCCTGAGCTGGAGGACTTGGAGGCAGCCTCCGGCCCAGACAGGTGCTGCCGGCTTGCTGGTGCTTACAGCAGGGTGAGTGCTGCACCTTGGGGGCTCCACAGCCCTGGGATATGGGGCACAGCTGGGCCTAGGGCCAGTCAAGGAAGCCCCAGGCAGGCTTTAGGGCCCTTCCTGACCAGGCTTTTCTGTGGATGGCTCTTCTGCAGTCGTCCTCTACACCCAGCCAGGAGGAGAAGCTGCTGCACCCCGAGGAGTTGGCTGCCAGGGGCATCCCCATGGAGCGGGCCGTGTCCTCTGAGGGCGGCCGTCCCTGCCTGGACCTCTCCTTCCAGCCCTCGCAGCCCCTTAGCAAGTCTAGCTCCTCACCTGAGCTGCAGACCCTGCAGGACGTCCTTGGGGACGCCGGGGACAAGGCTGACTCGGGCCGGCTGAGCCCTGAGGCCAAGGCTCGGTCGCAGTCAGGGACCCTGGATGGGGAGAGTGCCACCTGGCTGGTCCCAGGCGAGGAGGGCCGGGCGCGTGGACCGGCCCAGCACGAGGGACCACTGTCCTCTGGCTCTCCACGCTCCCCAAGTGGCCTGCGGCCCCGAGGCTACACCATCTCTGACTCGGCCCCGTCGCGCAGGGGCAGGAGACTAGAAAAGGACGCCTTCCGGGGCCGAGCTGCTGCCTCCAACGCAGAGAAGGTGCCAGGCATCAACCCCAGGTGGGGCCCAAGGACTTGCCACCCACCTGCTGGTCCTGCTTGACTGTGGGTGGGGCGGGCGGGGGGGAGGCAGGTGAGAGCCTCGTGCCCTGCAGGAGGTACCGCCAGGCTGTCCTGGGGCTAACTGTGGGCCTGTTCCCGGAGCCCAGCCACCGCATCTCTTTCCTCCGGCAGTTTTGTGTTCCTGCAGCTCTACCACTCACCATTCTTTGGGGACGAGTCCAATAAGCCAATCCTGCTACCCAATGAGGTGGGCGCTCACTGCAGTCCCCTTGGGCCCTGTGGGACTGGGGGACCCTATAGATAGGGGATCTTGGGGGACAGCCTGTTCCCCAGGCTCAGGCAGGGTTTCATGTGCTACAGTCCTTCGAGCGGTCCGTGCAACTCCTCGACCAGATCCCTTCCTATGACACACACAAAATCGCCGTCTTGTACGTGGGAGAGGGCCAGGTGAGGCTGCTGACGGGCAGGGCTGGCTGGCTGGCAGTCGTCTTGCTGGGGGAGGGTGGGCTGAATGCTAGCACTGGTTCCTGAGAGGCTGTGGGGCAGGCGGCCGTGCCCCTGTGGATCTGGGAGCTGGGATGAGCCCTGTAGGGGAGGGTGTCAGAGAAGGAGTGGTGGCTGCCTTGGGAACCCAGGTCAGGTGACACTGGCACAGCAGCAAGCAGGTGGTGAGATGGACGAGCAGTCTGAGCTGAACAGCGGGTGTGGAGGCCCTAGGTGCTGTGTGGCATGGCTCTTCAGTTGTGGCCGAGGATAGAGACCTGTGACTGCCTGGACGCAAGCAGTTGTGCCATGGGCGGGGCCTGGGTGGGGCCAGGGTGAAGCCGACTATCCAGGGATCGAGAGAATGGGATCAGGACGCCTGAACTTTGCCAGGGCGTTGCTGCCCACAGAGTCAGAGATGGCCAAAGGCAGGGCCGCCTCCTGTCCTGGGCTGGCATTGGTCCCAGAGGTGCCGGCCCTGGGTGACTGCTCTGCTCCCACCTTCCCACAGAGCAACAGCGAGCTTGCCATCCTCTCGAATGAGCACGGCTCTTACAGGTACACGGAGTTCCTGACAGGCCTGGGCAAACTCATCGAGCTCAAGGACTGCCAGCCGGACAAGGTGTACCTGGGCGGCCTGGACGTGGGCGGGGAGGACGGCCAGTTCACCTACTGCTGGCATGACGACATCATGCAAGGTGGGGTCTGTCAGGCCTCCCGTGGGCCCTGGGGAGAGAAGCCTGGCCTTGTCTGGGGCTGTGCTCGGGCAGGTCCCTTAGGGGCTCGCACAGCCAGCCAGCCTCACTCCTGCCCACAGCTGTCTTCCACATCGCCACCCTGATGCCCACCAAAGATGGGGACAAACACCGCTGTGACAAGAAGCGCCACTTGGGCAACGACTTTGTGTCCATCATCTACAATGACTCGGGCGAGGACTTCAAGCTAGGCACCATTAAGGTGTGGGGCACAGTACTTGGGGTCCCGGTCCCACCCCCAGGTCTGGGGACGCACCTGCTGCTGAGGTGGGATCCCCGTGGCAGGGCAGGGTTCTGAGTTGAGAGCCCCACCCAGAGCCACTCAGGCATGTGGGTCCCTTTTGAGCTGGGACGATGACAGCCTGCCTCAGGGAGAGTCCCTCAGCCAAGCAGGGTGGCAGGGCCATCAGTCCCAGACCCGCCAGGGTTGGGCCTCGGGGAGGAGCACTGGGCTGACCTAGTGCCGTCCTGAGCAGAGTAGGGCTGTCGGGGGCCTGGCTGAGCCCCGTCCTGTCCGCAGGGCCAGTTCAACTTTGTGCACGTGACCATCACGCCCCTGGACTACGCGTGCAACCTCGTCTCACTGCAGTGCCGGAAAGGTGAGCTCAGCCAGCCGGGCAGGTGGGGAGTCGGGGGGCTGGTCAGAGGGAACAGCCGCCAAGCTGTGTCTCCTCCCCAGACATGGAGGGCCTGGTGGACACCAGTGTGGCCAAGATCATATCCGACTGCAACCTGCCCTTCGTCGCCCGCCAGATGGCCCTGCATGCCAACGTGAGTGATACTCTGCCCTGGGGCCCACAGCACAGTGGGCATGGGCAGGCTTGGGGCCCGTGGCATGGTGGCAGGCGGGCTTAGTGGCCTGTTTCTGCCCACCCAGATGGCCTCCCAGGTCCACCACAGCCGTTCCAACCCCACTGACATCTACCCTTCCAAGTGGATCGCCCGGCTGCGCCACATCAAGCGGCTGCGTCATCGGGTAGGAATGCGGCGGGCTGTCTCAGGCGGGTGGAGGGGCAGTGCAGGGGGCCCCCGAGACCAAGCACCGTTGGCCCATGTGCTCTTGCCTGCAGATTCGGGAGGAGGCCCGCTACTTGAGCCCCAGCCTGCCCCTGGCACAGACGCAGCCCCCAGCCCATGCCCCAGCCCCGCCCGAGCCCACGCCCACCTATGAGACTGGCCAGAGAAAGCGTCTCATCTCCTCGGTGGATGACTTCACAGAGTTCGTGTGATCCTGCCAGGCTGGCAAGACACCAGGTGCCCCTGCCCCCCAGGTGCTCATTACCACCAGGGCCTCCTGTGCCCCCAGAGCTGGGGCAGTTTCTATTTGCAAGTGAAATAAAGGGGCTGTGTGGCCTGTGGCTGCCAGTACACCCCCTGCTCTGTGCTCAGACACAGATGGACACAGGTAGCAGTCAGCTGACTTGTTTATTTGACTTTGTCTGTTTTGTGGGGGAGGGATCAGGGTTGTCGCTGTGGCTGTGCCCAGAGGTGGTATATGGTTTTAGTGTGTACGTGCACGTGTACTGGTCTGCTCATTCCCTGGGAGCCTGCCCTGGGGCAAGCCTTTCCCTCATGACTCACCCGCCAGCAGGGCTGGCCACAGCTGTCTTTGCAGCCACAGGCCACTGAGAGGGACGAGGTTGTTGTGATGGGGCACCTGCCTAGGGCCAGACTCGGATCCTACTAGCAGCGTCATGTTCCTGGCCCCAGGCTCCCCTGCTGAGGCCAGCCCCGTGCCGGCAGGTACTGGGGAGGGAGAGCCGTTTCCTGCTCCCACCGCAGCTCGGCCCTCACTGTGAGGAGAGCCAGGAACAAAAATGCGTCTTACCCCGTGTAAGTTACCAACGGGGGCAGGGTGCGGGGGCAAGAGGGCAATAACTTAAGGGAGGAAGGCGAGGTGCGGGCTCAGCCCAGTGCCTGCAGCCTCACGGCTGGGTGCCAGTCGGGCACAGCCTGCCGCACCCATACCTGAGGACTGAGAAGCAAGTCAGCGCCCAGAGGCTGGGCACTTACTCGGTCCAATACTGCTGTGTTCTCCCGCGATGTGGGGAGGGGACCCTGGTCCTGGCTGCCACGCAGCCGTGTTAAAGTGCTGATGCCCACAGACTGATGGGTTGGGCTACCTCTGTGGGACCTGCGTGCTGTGGTTTCTGCCCAGCCGGGACCTCGGAGGCAGCAGGAATAACACTGAGGCAGGCTGGGCTAAGTGCTACTGGGGCGCACCCTATTCTTGGCCCGCAGGGATGCTCTGCTGGGACCCGGGCTCAAGCCCATGCCCCGGCTGGCCCGGGCTGGCCACAGGCTGGGGGGCAGTGAGGCCTGGGGCCTGCTGCCCCGGTGGTGGCGCAGGCCCTGTAGCCGCCGCTCCAGCTGGTACACGTCCTCGGTGGCTTGGTTTAGCCGGTCAAACTGGGCCAGCAGGACCTCAAACACGGCCTGCAGGCGGGAGGGCTCAGGTGCTCCTCGCGGCCCTGGCCGGCCGGCGTCCAGCTGGCTGGAGGAGGTGGAGGGGCGAGAGGTATCCGAGCCGGCGCTGGGTGGGGGTGCATCGGGGGGTGACCGGGAGCCCCTGGATGACCGGGAAGGCAGCGGCTCCATGCCCTCGAAGCGAACCTTGTGGCGGAACTGGGGGCGGCACAGGGGCTCCGTCAGTCTGGCTGGGTCCCGGGCTCGCCGGGGCCCGGGGCACCTCCCTGTCCCCCCCTGAGCCGTACCCACCTCCTTAACTTTGCTGAAGCCCATCCAGAGCCGCAGCCGGCGCAGGAACAAAGCCGCCATCTCGTAGTCCTGGGGCTCCCAGGCCGGCCGGTACAGCTCCCCGCGCAGCGTGTGGTAGCGCCAGTGCAGGACAACGCTGCCCAGCCGCAGGGCACCCCACAGCCGCAGTGCCCAGAGCCCCGCGCAGAGCAGCGGGGGCAGGCGCCAGGGCTCCGCCAGGCACAGAGTGGCACCCCCTGGGCCAGGACACAGCACCGGGAGGGCCTGGGCAGCGCTGTGCAGCGAGTCCACGCCCGAGGAGACCAGCTGCAAGGAAAGCTTGAGTGAGAACCGGCCCACCTCGCCTCCCACCGCCCCCCAAGCGACACGGCACCCACCAGGACAGCCAGCTGCGTGTAGGCCACGGCAAGCACCGCCAGGGCCACAGCTGTGCCCACGAGCTCCGGCAGGGCCCGGCACAGCGTCTTGCCAAAAACGGACCACTGGCGCACGAAGCGCAGCTGCTGGGCGGCCTGGGGGCAGGCAGAGGGTCAGTGCGTGATGCGGGCAGGCCCACGCCGCCCCGCACCACACTCGTCCTGGCCCCACTCACCTTGAGCAGCAGCATGAAGAGCAGCGTGGCAGCCAGGCAGCGGGCCACGGTACTCAGCTGCGCCACCTGCTCAAAGCTGGTGAAATGGCGCAGATGGCCCCCCACAAAGTGGGCCCACTGCCGGTCAGCAGTGCCCAGCTGGGCTAGGCGCACGAGTGCTGCGGCCGCCGCCAGCCCCGCCAACAGCCCACGCACCCAGGCCTCGGGCCTCGCCACGCGCCCACACCCCTCTCTCCACCAGGCCCGGGCCTCGGCCACCAAGAAGTGCAACGCGAACAGCAAAAGGCCCACCTGCAGACACACAGATGGGGGTTGGGGGGCTGAGCACGGCCACAGAGGGATGGGGGTGGGGGTCCCGGGGGACTGGGCCCTTGGATCTCACCGAGGTGAGCAGCTGCAGGGACAGACCAGAGCTTAGTCGCTGCAGGGTGAAGGGGTGGACGCTGAGGGCGGCCACGGCCCGGCCGGCCACAGGGAACTCGAGGCGCAGTGTGACGGCAGCATGCAGCCCCACCGCCGGGCTGTAGCGTGTGAGCTCCACAAACACGGCACGGCTCCTGTGGGGTGGGATGGACGACCAGAGGCTGCACTGGACGGTGCAGGGAGGAGGCTGGGCGGGAGATGAAGGGGCCGCAAGGGCACTGGTTGGACCTGGGGTGCCGCAGTTGACGCGTGTGGACTTGCACCTGTGGGGTGGGGCGGGCCGCGCCGTGACGCGGCCGGCGGGCGGCTGCCGGGCTCACCTGTTGTCCACCCAGCGGTGCTGCTGCAGGAAGCCCAGCCGCGCCCGGCTCTCCTCCAGGCTCAGCCCCAGCTCCTGCACGTAGCCCCCACTGTCATAGACAGCACAGGTGCCCCAGTGCCACGCTCTGCAGGGATAGGGGTCCACGTTGGAGCCACAGGGCTAGGGGGCGCTCTTCCCCTCACAGGACGGTGCCCCACTGCTCACCCCAACAGGTCAGGTGCTGAGTAGGCCCATGTTCCAGAGGTGTTCTGGGCAGCGTGCCCCCAGCCGATGCTGTAGTCACTGGTACTGAAGTCACCCGGGGCTGAGCAGGGGTAGGCGCCTGAGCCCCGGGGGTCAGGGCAGGGAGCTGAAGTGCAGAGGGTCACACGGGCAGCGTTATATGACCCACCTAGTAGTCCATTACATGGTACTGTCACATCCACCTTACAGGCAAGGACGTGGAGGGGCTGGGCCCACCCCGAGTCAGGGCCCAGGGAAGGTCCGCCTGGGTGGGTCAGTGCCAGAGCTCACCTTCCTGTAGCCGCACCTGCCGCAGCCGCGGGGGCCCCAGCTCTGGACTGGACTGGTTCCCGTGAACGTAGGGAAGGAGTACCTGGGACATCCACGGCCAGAACTCGTCCGACCTGCCAGGACCAAACAGTCACCCTTCTGACCCACCAGGGCCTGGAGGCCCCACGAGCAGGCAGGTGGGTGCCAGTGCCAGGGAAGACGGGGTGCCCCAAGCTCCTCCCCTCAGCCTAACAGGCCGCATCCCTGGCCTCTGCCACTCAATGCCAGCTGTCCTCCATCCTGTCCTGACAACCAGAGGTGTCCCCAGACACTACTCAGTGTATCCCCTGGGGGCGAGCTGCCAGGCAGAGCGCCAGGGCCACACTGAGGCAGCCACGATGACCTCGTACCGGGTGATGGACAGGAAGGCCCGACTGTCCAGCTCCTGCTTGATGGCACTCTGCAGACGGTAGGCGTGCCCGTGGCAGGAGGCGTCCCCGTAGTTGGCCAGCAGTGTCACCAGCAGGAAAAGCATGTACACCAGGAGGTTCTGGGGGACAGGGCCTGTCCTCAGCCCAGGAACCCCCAGCGCCCAGGCCCGCCCCAGCCGCCCTCCAGGGATGCCTGTAGACACTGCCCATGGCCAGGAGCCTGGTAGGGTGAAGGGTGGCACAGACGCTCCCAGTGCCCCGACTAGGGGTAGACATGGTGGGGATGACACAAAGTAATGAGCAGAACTAGGGCTGGAGACCTCAGGTCCCATGGAAGGGCCTCCCACAGTCGGGAACGGAGACCAACAGAGGCTGGGTGGGTGCCGGCACAGAGGCGGGGCACAGGATGGGCGTGGGCCGGGAGGCGGGGCACGGGGTGGGTGCGGTCCACGAGGCAGGGTAGGCAGAAGCCGCACTCACCCGCAGCACCCTGTGCAGCTTCTTGACCTTGCGGGCCTCTTCCTTGGCCAGGAAGAGTGCGAAGCCATGCGGGGGCCGCACCCGAGGCACTCGCTCGCTCACGGGCGTCACAGCCGGGCTCTCCACTAGCGTGTCATCCTCATCGGGGTGCAGCCGCTTGGCCACCAGTGAGAAGTACAGGGCCTCCAGCAGGACCTGGGGGGGGGCTGGTGTCAGGGGGTGGCCGGAGACGGCAGGGAAGCCACTGGAGGGGCCAAGGCCACAGCCCACTCACCTTGAGTGGTTCCCAGCCCAGGAACGAGGCAAGAAGACTAGAGCTGCTGGCCAGCAGCCACGTGACGCTGATGCTGGGGGTGAAGCTGGCACCGACCCAGGCTGAGAGGCTCACAGACAGCGCCACCAGGAGCAGGCTGAGCCCATGGGCCAGGCGGGAACACCAGGCTGGCAGCAGACGCTTCCGCAGACCCTCCACTAGCCCTGGGGGGGAGACAGCCATGACCAACGGCCACAGGCAGGGGCTGTGCAGGGCCGCCGTGACCCCAGGGCTTACCTGTGCCACAGAGCTTGGCCGCTGGGGGCAGGTCCCAGCCCAGGCCTGGGGCAGGTGGCCCTTTGTCCCCAAGTGTATGCAGCATCAATGCCTCAGTTCTCTCCCTGGGGGCACCAGACCTGAGCACAGAGGGGCACCATCACCACCTACCCACTGGAACCCACCCCACCCCGGGGGGGGGGCAGGAAACACGGGGCACCTGGTGGCTCCGGGGAAAGCCACATCCACTTCTCCTGACTTCCTGCTCGTGGACCAACCCCGCCTCCTGCATCTGTGACCACTCCTCCGGCTCTGTCCCAGCAGACAGACACCGCCTCCCACGGCCCAGTGCAGTGCGCCCTGCTTGCCTCCCTGCAGTCGGGGCATCGTCCCTGCCAGGTGCCCAGAACCTTCCGTGCTTCACCCCTGCCCCGCCCACGATGCACACACGTGTTCCACGATTAGTGCACCTCGCCCCACTCCTGCAGTTCTGTAACCCGACACCAGTCTCTTCTGCACATCCCCTGGACCGTGAGAACAAGTGGGGTTCCAGAGGACCCAGAGACCTGCTCGTCCCTAAGAGCCAGCAGGCCAGCTGCCACATGGCCACGGCATCTCTGGAGCCCTCTGTGCTGTCCTGACCTTCCCGATTCCAGGGCTGCCACGTGACAGGGGAGAAGCTGGGGCAGTCACAGACAACGAGAGCAAGAAGGGAGAAGAGGGGACGGGCCATCGCCCTGCCAACAGCGGAAAGGGGCTGGAGCCCTTCCTACACCCACCAAGGCTGGGGGTCTCCTGGGTGGGGAGCAGAGGACCGCGCTGTCGTCCTGAAGGGGACTTCTCTGTCATGAAAGGAGGTACTGCGAGCCGGGGCGGTCAGCCGTACAACTCTCCCGCCAGTGGGAGGCCCCAGTTGGGCTCGCGGCCAGCACCCCTCCTGTGCAGCCCCCATCCATCTGAACACGTCTCGGGAGCTTCCAGGCCGAGACTAGGAAGGCAGGCCTGGCCGTCTAGTTCCGAAACCCAGCAAGTGAAAAGCCCAGATCGTAAGCGTCTGGCCTGTGACCCAGCCTACGGGCGATACAGGCCTGGCCCCTTGTCCCCACGTGTGGAGTTCCCTCAGGCACAGCAGCTGAGAGGGTGCCGTGGAGATGACTAGGTCGCGGGAGGCCTTGGGCCTCTGCCTGGCTCTCCTGCACCCGAGTCTGGACCCTGTGAAGATGCTCAAGCAGCACCGTGGAGGGCCCCCAACAGGTGGACTTGCTTGCTGAGTTTGGGGGCACCCTGTATGCAGTAACAGATGAGCAGTGTGCTATCTGCAGCTATAGGAGCTGGTGCACAGTGGGGAGCAGGCTCCCTCTGAAGGAGACAGAGGGTGGGAGGAACGGAGCCCAGGGACCCCGGGCAGCCATGAGAGAATCCAGGCAGGGCAGGATTTGTGGTGGGCAGTGCGGGCAGAAGCGGCCATTCCCGGTAGCTCTGGAAGGAGCAGACAGGTCTGCAGAGGCCACCAGGAGGAGCGGCCACAGAGAAATCACGCACACCCCAGGCCACTGCTGGTGGAAACGTAAACCCACAAGGTGCAGGCACAGTGGAAGACAGTCTGGAAGCTCCTCCAAAGGCCGGCTGTTCAACAAGCAGGCGAGCCAGCACCCCAGCCCCAGGTCCAGACCCAGCAGCGACGGCGGAACACACAGAAACCGTCCCCCAGGCTCATGGCCGCACCATTAACAATCGCCAACGGGGAGGCCTCTGACACGCCCAGCAATAGATGACATATGTTCATAGTGCAACGCCACCAGCCGTGGACAAAAACGGCGTCCTGAAAGCCCAGCCTCGTGCCCCCCACGTCCCTGCGGTACTCCTACTGACCCCTGAAGGACACTGGTTTGTGGGAACAGCCCCTGGGCCACCCTCGAAGTCAGCACTGTCTTAGGCTCTTTTCCACAGATAAGATCAGAGGCTGAGAGAGGCCGTGACCTGGTGCTGGCTCGAACACACAGAGTGAGGAAGGCCGGGCGGAGGCAACACAATCCCTGCCCCTTCCCCGCCCCCGGGAGGGCACTCACAGGCCAGTGAGCAGCTCCGTGTCCGCCGGGGTGTCCTGGGTGGGGGCCAGGCTGCTCGCGCCTTCAGCTAGGATGTGGCGAATCAGGTCTTCATCTGGAGAAGAGTCAGGGTGAGCTGCTCAGCGGGAGTCCACCAGCGCAACCACTGCTGCGTGGCCACCGCCCCACTCACCTGAAGCCGAGAAGTATCTGGCAGGCGAGGAGGGGCTGATCAAGGAGAGGCCGTCCTCCTCCAGGCCCAGTGTGCGGCCTGGCAGGCCCTGAGCCAGCCGCTGCAGGGCGCTGCCCATGACGGACGGGTCACAGAGCAGGTCTGGCCAGCCGAGCGAGCCATCACTGGACGGCCAGCCCACCAGGCTGTAGGAGACAAGGATCAACCAGGGGCTGGGAGCTCAGGACGGCTCGTGCACCACAGACTGACGTGGTGGGGACCTGAGCACACACGTTACGGGGCCACGTGTGACGAGACCCACAGCCGGACCACCACCGGGCAGATGCACACAGCCTGGACCCCACGACCACAGTAAGGCCCACGCGTTCTCTAGGCACCCACCTTTTGGAGTCATCCAGAAATAAGTCGTTTCTCATTGGTTCAGCAAAGACCTGCTGAGAAGGATACACAGGGCCTCAGACTCTGGGCTGCCTGGAGGCAGCAGGACCCGCCCAGCCCCGCTCTCCCCAGACCACCCTCAAGCCTTACCTCAGCAGGGAGCCCTGAGAAGGCGAGGAAGGAGCTGTCCAGCACAGAGGAGTCCAGGCAGCTGTCGACGTCCAGCACCTGCGGCCTGGCGGGGCTGGGGCTCGGGCCCCTGGCCACCTGCACGGAGAAGGGGTGCCGAGAAGCGACCTGAGCAGACCGTCTAGTCTAGCACTGACCCAGAGGCCATCTTGAAGCGAGGGGCGTGTCCTGTTGCTGCTTCCTCAGCACAGCAGCCACTAGGCACCAGGGGTAACAGACACCCCAGCTGTGGCTGGTGCAGCCACGGCGCTGAACAGATTGAGCAGCTGCCCGTGTGCCCGGCGTCACGATGCGCCCCTGGGGCGGGCCCCACAGGGGCAGCACATAGGGGCCTTTGTCATCGGATGTGGTTTGCTTGCTTTGGGTTGAGGATTTGTGGGTGTGTAAGGGGCATTGGTCCGCGGTGCCCTCCTCTTCCACCTTTGGGCTTTACTTGTGGGCGGTTTAAGGCCTTGTGCACTCTCTTCTCGTTGCAGAACTACTTGGACGCTGTCTCTCCTGGACTGAGTTCTGGGATTTGCACCTTTATGGGAACCTGACCGTTTCTTCCCAGTTCTCTGATTGGTTGGCCTCCAGGGGGCCCACCCAACCCCTAACTCTTTGATTCTATAAGGTTGGAAGAGACGTTCCCTCTTTCATGCCCGCCTCTAGTAATCCTTCTCCCTGGTCTGTCTGGCTGGACTTTCCTTTGGTGGCCTTGGGCTCGTCCAGGACAGCAGAACCCCACCAACACCCTGTCCCCACGGCCCACAGCCCCCCGCCCACCTCACTCCGGGACATCCGAAAGAGGAACACGATGACCAAGTAGACGGGATAGACGACCAGGCTGGACACCAGGCCCACGGTGACCGTGTCGAAACTCAGCGGGATCAGCCTGGACACGGGCTGCACGCTGGTGGGTGAGAGCAGAGAGCGCGCTGCGTGAGGCCGGGGGCGGGAGGGCCTGCGGGGAGGCCCTGCCCCCGGAGGCACCCACCTGCGGGCGGTGTCTCCCACGACCGCGTACCACACGGCATTGGCACCCAGGAAGAGGCAGAGCAGGAGCACGCAGCAGGTGGCCCGCTGGACGCGGGTGAAGCGGCTGCGCGGCGGCCGGTCCCACAGCGACAGCCAGATGTGCTTGTCCGAGAAGCCGCGCTGCAGCTCGGCCACCAGGAGGCGCCGGAACCGCCGCAGGGCCGCGTCGCCTGGGGGCGGGAAGGGCTGCAGGAGGCCGTGCGGGGCGCCAGGTCCGCCCCGCCCAGCCTGGGGAGGAGGGGAGCCCTACTTGCCGCCAGCACCTCCTTCTCCACCAGGCCCCCGTTGGCCTCAGTCTCCACCGACAGCCAGTCGTTGACCAAGAAGAAGGTGCTGCGGGCACTCTGCAGGTCCCGCACGATGACGTGCTGCAGGAACCAGGCGGGGCTGAGGCCTGTGGGGGCGCCGGACGGTCAGGACCCCGGCGGGGCGGGGCGGAGTGCTGGGGAGGGGGAGCGGCAGGGCCCGATGGGCGGGGCGGAGTGCGGAGGGGGCGGGGCGGAGTGCAGGGGAGGGGGAGCGGCAGGGCCCGATGGGCGGGACGGAGCTGTTGCACCGGGGCGGGGCTGACGGGGCGGACGAGGCCGAGCCCTGCAGACGGTGCCACCATCAGGCCCCTGGCCAGGTGAAGCTGAACTCCACTGAGCCAGCAGGGGGCAGGGTTAAGCCCTGCCAGGCCAGCAGGGGGTGGGGCCGGAGGGGGCGGGGCTGAGCCCTGGGTCGGGCAGGAGGGCACCGCCACCTTTGTTGTCATGCCACACTCGGATCTTCCACACGCTGCCTAGGCTTTGTGGGGTCGCGATCTGGAAGATGTCCAGGCTGTTGCGGTGGAAGGCCCCATTCCCATCCAGGTGCCGGTGGCCACTGCGGCTGTCTGCCCCGTACAACATGATGCCCACGTGGGCCGTGGTACCTGGACAGTGGTCAGGAGGAGTCAAGGCTCTGGGCTCCCATCCCTACACAGGGATACCAGGCTCGTAACCTCACTCAAGCAGCCCAGTTGGGCCTGGAGGCTCCGACAGGCACAGCCGGTCACACTGACGCCAGCTCCCTGTTGTTATGTGCCGACTCTTAACAACCCCTCCTTGGGTTTGCGAGGCAAGTATCACTACAGAAGATTGCTCCATCTCCCTTCCAAGAAGTGGCTGGTGGGTTTGAACTGCCAGCCTTCTGGTTCGCAGTCATGTGACTTACACACTACACTACCAGAGCTCCCTGCCAGCTCCCTACCATGGCTCAAATACAAAGTCAGCCGGCAGGCTCTCCAGCTCACCAATCACAGCACAAGTAACAGACGCCTATCGTGGCCAGCGGCCAATCACCTCCCTCCTTGCACAGTCTGTTGCGACTGGTCCCCAACAACTCCCCGCCACACACACACACTGCAACGCTGTCATGCAGCTTCCTGCTCTCCCAGGTGAACCCGCTGTTGTCCTGTCATCCAAAGAGGGAATCGGCCAGTGGGGACAACACAGAAACGAGAGGCACACAGGCCTGCGGGGCGCTGCCTCCAGCTCTCCGTTTGCTGGGAAGCCAGCCAGCTCAGGACATTTGGAAGGGCACTGTTGAAGGTCCCAGGGCACCCTCACTTCCCTCGTCCTCAGAAAGGTCACACTGCAGCCCTGTGGGGCAGCACACCACCAGGGAGGCTACCTCCAAACACCACGTTAACCTCAGGAGCACCAGCAGCACGTATGCCACGAGCACGTGTGTTCCAAGGTCCCCCCCGAGGACTGATGCACTAACACATAACAAGCACTTGGCATTTCTCATGATGTCTCACGGTCACCAGTATCACCAGGAGGGTGGCTCCCCAGCCAAACCCCTCACCTGAGCCCCGGCCCCAGCCAGTCTTGACCAGGATCTCATACTTGAAGCGGCCGCCCTTCCCGCAGAACGGGATAACTCGGAGCCGGCGCGTGTCCAGCTGATCCAGCTTCCGCAGGACCACAGCCATGACCCCGTAGGTCACGAGGCACACAGTGCATGTCAGCAGGACGACATAGCTCATGCCCGGGGCCGGCTCCTGTGGGGCGGGGCAGCGTGTCAGGCCGTACTCCCCTGCGTCCCCCACCCCACCTAGGAGCCCCGGAGCCCCGCGAGCACCGCTCACAGGGAAGACAAAGCTGATGCGGCTGGGAGGGACGAGGAGGCTGGCACCAAAGGCAGTGAGGTGGCGGGTGAGGCACACGGCCTGGCTGGGCGAGGTCTCCTCCAGGGCCACAATGCCCTCTGTGCGCCATGCCATGTCCTCCTCACTGAAGTACTGGCAGAGTGATGTGTACAGGCCCACGGACACCTCCAGCGCCGACCAGTGGAAGTGGCTGGTCAGGTTCAGGTGGTAGCTCCCGCCTGGCTCTCCAGTTCTGGGATGGTGGCAAGTGTCACTGGTGGACCCACTGGGCCGTGGATCCCCGTGGGAGCTCCAGCCCATTCACGGTGCTGCCCCAAGTTCTCCCGCCCCAGTCACACAGCACTGCCGCCACCTCCCCACCCGCGCCACACGACTCTGCCAGACCTGGGCTGCCGCTGCCCGCCCGCCCACGTCACGTGCCCCAGGACCCAGCTCACCCTGGGGCGATGAAGAAGGTGTAGAGCCGGTGGTCGCCCCCCGCCAGCGCTTGCAGACTGATCTGCCGACTGGCTGAACAGTTGTACTCGTTGGGCCGGGCCACTGCGTGCAGGTACGCAGCCAGGTAGGGCTCAGGCTCCTCCAACAGGTAGGTGTCTGGGGACAGACAGCAAGGTTGGAGGCCCACCTACGAGCTGCCTGGGGTCTCCCTGAGCCCTTCCCACCCTGCAGTCCCGGGTGTGGGCAGGCGGGAGCCCCCACTTGCCTCTATGCTGCCCTACTTCCTGGGGACCCCCATCCCGCTGCCCTGCCCTCGGGAAGTTATCCCCTCCCTGCATGCCCCTCCCTCACACCCACCATCCAGCACCGTGAACGTGAGTTGCAGATGCAGCCCGGCTGCGGGGTTGCTACTCTCAGGAGTGACCTCAGCGCTGACTGAGGCCCGTGGTGGGACAGTGGCCATGGCGGCAGTGGGCACACTCTGGCCCGGGCCGGCTGGGCCGGTGTTGCTGGGCACGGTGACGGTGATCGCACGCTCCGAGGCCAGCCGCTCGATGGGGATCTGGGCTCCGGCCTGCGTCTGGAAGGCCAAGGAGGCCACCTTGGTGGAGACGGTGTAGTTGCTGATGTAGCCAAAGGGGAAGGGGTTGGAGTCGACGAGGAAGATGAGTTGCACTACGTCGCTGCGGCCAGCCAGTGCCCCGCTGAAGGCGGCAGGGATGGAGAAGTGGCAGTCGGGGCCCGCGGATGGGCCTGTGCACAGGAGGCTCAGTGGGTCCGAGCGCTTGCCCTGGGCCACGATCTCCTCACCGGCCAGCGTCAGGGGCTCCTCGTTGAGGACACGGGAACGCATGAGGATACACATCAGGGCCGACGACAGGTTGTAGGCCTGGGAGGCCACCAGCAGCGAGGGCCGCGCCGCCCCCACTGCGTCTGGCTGCCCTGGCGGCCCCTCCGTGTCCACGCTGGCCAGGTGGATGAGGTCGCCTGCAGGACCCAGCAGAGGATGGAGGGCTGAAGGGGGCCAGGTGAGGAGCAGAGAGCGGGAAGAGGGGAGCCCAGGGGCACCTGGAGCCCCGGAGGGCACTGGGACCGGAGCCGGGGCGTGCACCTGTGATGTTGAGGATGCTGTCGGCGATGGCGGTGGGCGTGGCAGTGCCCTCGGTGGTCTCGGCCTGCAGGACGCGCATCATGGCCTCCAGCTTGTGCAGCGTCTTCTTCAGGCAGGACTGGCACACCAGCTCCCTGGTGGACACCTGCCGCGGGCCGCCGTCACCCCTGCAGCCGTGCTGCTCACCTGCCCACGCCCCCTCACCCCCACAGCAGCGGAGACCACCCTAGACATCCCTTGCCGCCCCCCACCTGCTGAATGCCACTTGGGGATCCCACCCACGGCTAACCCAGGAGACCTGATCCTGCCCTCCCCTCACCCACCGGGTCCCTGACGACAGGACCAGGAGTGGGGCAGGCCCAAGGCTCTAATGGGGCCCAAATCTGGCCCCTGGGCCCAGCTGAAACATTCCTGGCTACCGTCTCACCTGTGCTGACCGCCGAGAATGGCCCTCCACCCAAGACCACCCACTGTGGTGAGATCAGGGAGAAGCCAGGCCTGGTGAGGCATAAGCTGACGGGTACAGCTGCGGGGCCCGGTCACACCCCTTCAGGCTGAGGGTGAAACGGGAGCTGGGCGGGACCCTTGGGGGCTAGAGGGGCTGTGGGAGAGCCAGGCGGGAGCTGCGTCTGGGGCTACCGTGCACTGTGCCAGCGCAGCCGCGATCTGCTGGATGTCGTCCACGGTGTCAACCCTCAAGGACACCAAGGTCTCCATGATGCTCCTGCGTGTCTGTGCACGCAGCTGTCGCTCGGGGGCGGGCTCTGCTGCGGCCGCTGGGGTCTGCTCGTACTGCAGTGTCAGGTGGAGAGAGGCCATCAGCACACACTGGCCACACCAACCTTCCGTCCCACTTGCAGAACCAGGACTGCCCTGGGACACTGTCAGCATTACAGGGAGCAGGCTGGGGAGGGTACCCCGCATGTGCCGGCCGCCAGCAGCAGGAACCGTGGTCCCCGTGATGGTGTGGGGCTCCCCTCTGCCACAGGCAGCTCGCGGCTCTCTGCTCAGGAGGCCCTGGCCTGCCCCATGCCCTCCGCACAGCACAGACCTGGGCCTGCCACACTGACCTCGTTGAGCACAGTGACCAGGGCCAGCGAGTACTCAATGACGTGCTGGGGGTCAGCCTGCCTCAGCAGCCCAGGCAGCTTCATCTCGGTCAGGCCGTGCAGCCAGCGCGTGAGGCCTGCAGGGCCACTGGGGGGCTCCGGGGGCGTGATGGCCAGGGACCTGCGTAGAGCTCGCGGTCAGCTGAGGCCACCTGCCCCAGCCCCTCACGCCCTGCCAGCTGCTGCAGTCAGCCCTGGGGCCGGCCGCGCAGGCAGGCGTTACCTATTGAGGGCGACCACAGCCGCGCCCAGCTGGTCCTGCACCACCACGGCCAGGCCTACGGAGAAGCGGGGAGGGAAGCCGGGAGGCAGCACTGCCCCGTAGGCCGGCAGGCTGCCCTTGTAGACGTGGAAGTCCTCGCAGTGGCCCTGGCGACAGCGCCGCAGCAGCAGGGCGTACAGCAGCGGGGCACCTGCGTCCTCTGCGTCACGCCAGCCTGTGGGCCGCAGTGTCACCAGGGGGTCCCGTGGCACCCCGAGCCCCTCTGCCCGGCCAGCCCCGCACACACTCACCCGTGCACTCAAAGTGCACCTTGGTGGTGAGGGCGTGCACGCTGTCCAGGGGGAAGAGGCGGCAGGAGCCACCCAGCGGGGGCCGGTTGGGGGACAGGCGGATGGAGGCGCAGCCCTCCTCCTCGCCCGAGCGGCCCAGCACGGTCAGCGTGAAGGTGTAGCCCTCCCCGTCGCGCAGCACACCGCGCCGCACCACCAGCCGCATGCCGGAGCCGCCCGTCGACGTGGTCGTCTCGTCCAACACCAACGTGTGGTTGCTGAAAGTACGCGCCGCCCAGCGCTGGGGGAGGGGCCGGGGTCAACACGGGGACAGACGCTGAGGGGCCGTGGGGTCAGCGAGGTGACAGACAGGGGCAGTGAGGCAGGGGCCCCGCTCACCCCCTGCTTGGAGCCTCGGCTGCAGTTCAGACAGCGGCCCTCCAGGTACACGCGAGAGCTGCGGCTCACTTCGTACACGGCCTGAGCCTTGCAGGACACGCACTCCAGGGACACGATGGGCACCCGCCCGCTCCGAATCAGCACCTGGGAGGGGACAGGAGGCTGTGAGCTGATGGCCGGCCTGGAGGCAGTGCCCGGGGCTTTCCCAAGCCCTTGAGGAGGGTCTCTGCCCCGCAGCACCCACCTCTCCCGGGTCCAAGCTCCTCCAGAGCTCGTTTACCATGGGAGCCCCTCAGTCCCACCTGGGGGTTCCTGCTTTGTAATTCCTGTCTAGACCGGGGGCAGCGGACTGGGGACCCCCCAAGAGCAGGGCCCCATCAGGCCTCCTTTCTGCAGCGTGCTTCCTCCCGAGGACAGACCCCGTGCCGTAACCAAGCTGCTGCTCAGGTCACCTGCCCGTGGCCCATGGTGGGGGTGGGGAGGAGAGGGGAGAGGAGGGGAGGGGAGGGGAGAGCAGAGGAGGAGAGGGGAGGGCAGGGCAGGGCGCCTGCACGAGGACGAGACCCGGTCCCTGGACAGGTCTTGTCCCACTGTTCTCTGCATCATCAGGACACAGTGTGATTCCCAAACCCCCAGGTGGTACAGCTCCTCCGTGACCTGGGCCACAAGGACCCGCCACCACGGCAGCAGCCCTTACACGTCAGTGGAAGCACCTGAGTCTAGTCTGAGGCCCGGGAGGGGACCCTGGACAATCAACTCACTGGCGCCCCAGCCCTGACCGTGTCATGCCCCTCCCCCACAAGACAAAGGAGGGGGCTTCGGACAAGCAGCCTGATGTCACCGTGGCACCCACCAACGCTCCCTCCCTCACGACTGGCCAGCCAGCACCCACCGTCTGGTTGGTCACCTCCTCCTTCCGGCCGGCTTTCCACACGGTCAAGTCGAAGGTGTACTCTGTGCCAGCCTCCAGCCGCTCACGGGGGATGGTGACCACAGGGCTCCCACGGGGCCCAAAGTTTAGCGCACACCCTCCAGCCTCACTCTGCAATGTGACGGCACGGGGGAGAGGGTGAGAGCCCTGCGCGCCTGCCCCAGGGACAGTGTGGGCACCCTCTGGCCTCCCACTGGGGTGGGCCCCCGGACCTGTGAGGTCGAGACGCAGGCCCAGTGGAAGCTGAGCGGTGTCTGCTCGCCATCTTCCAGGTTTGGGTCGTAGGACCGGCTCCCGTCCAGCACCAGGTCCTGTGTGTCTGACCATACGCGGTACGAGCCGCCCTCAATGATGGGCACCAGGCGCTCAGGGGCCACCGTCACGTTGGCTTGGATGCTGCGTGACAGCGGTGTGTCCCCAAACGACACCACGAACACAAAGCAGTAGTGGCCAACGGGCAGCACCAGCCGCGGCAGCACCAGCTGCGGCCGACTCACATCCACGCCAGGCAGAGCCAGGCGGGCAGCTGGCCCAGGCCGCTGGCAGCTGGCGGCGCGGTACACCTCCCAACTGTACTCGGTTTGGTAGGTGACGCAGCCACGCAGGTTGACGTGGGCCTCCAAGTAGTTGCGCTGGGAGCGGCGCATTAGCACCTGCGGGGGCAGGGCTACATCCACCTCGGGCTCCTCACAGGCCAGCACGTGCACCGTCACCGTGGCCTGTGCCACGAAGAAGCTCACCAGGTTGGACGCGTTCACCTGCACACGGTAGTCCCCAGGCTGCAAGTAGGCGTGGGCCGCCCAAGGCTCCGCCGTCGTCTCTGCCGGGGCGCCGTCCCCGAAGTCCCAGCGGAAGGCCACGCGACGAGGGCTGGGGCTGGTGGCGGCCTCGAAGCGGGCCGAGCGGTTGGCGAAGCAGCGGCTGCCGCGCACCGCCACGTGCTGGATGATGTCCTGCACCTCCAGCCAGCGCGTCAGGTTAACACCACCCAGCTCGTTGAAGGCCCGCACCTGGACCTCCAGCAGCCCCGCAGCCACAGGCGTGTACGTGACGTCGCGGCCCGACAGGATGACCAGCGAGTCACCCTGCACCTTCTGCAGTGAGAAGTACCAGGCGAACTGGACCCGTGAGCCACGCCGCACGCGGGCCGTGAAGTTCTGCTCCGCGCCCGTGGGCACGCCTGGCGCGCAGCAGTGCGGCACCCACAGCCCCCGCACGGCCTCCAGCACGCCCACGCGTACCTGCGCCTGTGCCCGGCTCACGTGGTTCTCGGCCTGCACGCTCACCAGGTAGTCCCCAGCGTGGGGGAAGCTGTGTGAGAAGCGCGTCCCGGAGAGCGGCCGGGGGTCAGCCCCACCCACCTGCAGGCGCAGCCCCACATCTGAGCCGGCAGCTAACAGCACCTGGAAGTCCACAGCCTGCCCAGGCTCCACCACCTTGCTGCTAGCCCACAGCACCAGGCCCGCCACCGGCTCCTCCACGGTCAGGTTGTGCGTGGCCACCGCCCAGCTGACTGCGTTGGAGGCGTTGAGCTGGACAGAGAAGGTGCCAGCCTTGGGGAAAGCCACGGCCACCTGCTGACCCTGCAGCCTGTGGGCCCCTGGCACCATCCAACTCCAGCTCACATTGGTGCCAGCCACCAGCTGGCCCCAGAAGGGCACGGTGGAGCCGGCCGCCACAAAGCCACCGTCGGGCTTCCCAGCCCGGATGCCAAGGCCTGTGATGGGCACCTGCACCATCACCATGATGGTGGCATTGACTATGCCCAGGGCATTCTCAGCTGTGACGGTGACCAGGTGTAGGCCAGGACTGGGGAAGGCATGGGCAGTGGCTGGTCCCGAGGTCACCCAGCGTGGCCCCGCCCCCAGGCTCCAGGTGAATGTGACACTACTGCCACTCGTCAGCCTGGCAGCCAGGGTGACATTCTCATTGACAGCGGCCGGGTCAGGGGTGGCAGCTACCGTCAGCGCCCCGACAGGGTCCACAAATTGCAGGCTGCGGTTGGCTGTGGCACTGCCCAGCATGTTGGTGGCACGCAGCTGGACAAGGTAGGTGCCAGGCTCCAGCACAGTGAGAGAGAAGACCCTGCCGGTGGCGGTCAGCACAGGGCCGCCATCCCGCTGGACGGCCCAGCTGTAGGAGATGTTGGTGCCATCCCGGACCGCGGCCTGGAGCTGCAGCGTGCGGTTGGTGGGGAGGCAGCCACCTCCGCCCACCACCTGGAGCCCTTCGACGTACTGCAGCACGTAGACAAGGATGCTGTCCTGCACGGTGCCCGCCGCGTTCTCGGCTGTGACGATGATGCTGAAGGTGCCCACCGAGCGGAAGGTGTAGGAGATGGTGGGGCCCCCGGGGATGGGGGTGCAGCGGTCACAGAGTACCCAGGAGTAGCGCACGTCACTGCCCGCCTCCAGCGAGGTGCTGAAGCTGACACTGCCGTTGAGGGGCACCACGGTGCGGGTGGCACTGACGCGCAGCCCTCGCACTCGCTGCACCACCGTCACGTTCAGCTGGGCCTCGCTGTGGCTCACCTCGTTCCAGCCAGCCACCCGGACACCGAAGGTGCCGGTCCAGTTATAGGCGTGGCTGACCGCGGGGCCCTGGAGACGCGTGCCGTCCCCGAGCTCCCACACGTAGCTGGCGGGGCTGCCGTGGCCGGTGGCGGTGAAGAGGTAGGGCCGCTGGGCCTCCAGCACGCAAGAACTGTTAACCCTGATGCCCGTGAGCACCACGGGCTGCTGAACCTCCACCACCGCCGAGTCGTTGCCGGCCGAGACGTTGTTGGCCACGGTGACAGTCACCAGGTAGGAGCCGGGCTCCTGGTAGGTGTGTGTGGCCTCAGGGCCCCCGAGACGACCAACGGCGTCCGCGGGGCCCCAGTGCCAGATGTAGTGGTAGGGGAAGGGGGGCCGGGCGTGTGCCTCCAGCCGGGCCGCCTCTCCAAGCCGCACAAACTGCCTGTCGGGCCTCAGCGTGACGTTGCTGAGCTCGGGCTCCACGCAGACGCTGGTGAAGTAGTGTGCCCTGTTGGCGCGGCTCGACAGCGCCAGGGCCAGGGGGAAGGTGCCGCTGCGCGTGAAGTTGTGCGTCACCACCGGGCTCCCACGGATGGTGGCATTGGGTGAGCCGTCCCCGAAGGTCCACTCAAAGACGTAGTGGGCAGGGTCGCCAGTGACATGGGCCGTCAGTCGGGCGTCAGGCTGAGCGAGGATGCAGCCGGCTGGCTCAATGTACAGCACCTCCAACACGAAGACGTGCACAGGCAGGCGCTGGAGCAGGTGGCCGGCGGGGTTGGCAGCCGTCACGGTCACAGTGCAGTTCTGTGCCCGCAGGTACACGTGCTCCACAGTGGGCTCGGGCCCCGACAGCACCGCGCCATCGCCCATGGTGAAGGTCCAGGTGACGTTGTCACCCGCCTCCAGCGTGGCCCTCACTTGCACGGGTGCACCCTGCTCCACTGCTGGGTCCAGGTGCACACTCAGGCCCCGGAGCTCCTCAAGGACGTGCACGTCGGCCCATGCTGCCGTGCAGCTCACCGTGTTGTTGGCCTCCAGGCGGACACGGAACGTGCCCCTCGCCACATACGTGTGGTTGATGGCCGGCTCGCTCTGCAGCCTGATGGTGGACCCGTCCCCGAAGTCCCACATGTACAGAACACTCCCAGGTGCAGGTGAGGGCCTCGGGAAGAAGGTGACGGGCCGGCCAGCCACCAGGACGTGGCTGCTCACCCCCACGGCCAGGGTGGGCAGGGTGGCACGCACACTCACGGGTACCCGCTGCGTCAGATTCTCGAAAGCATTGGATACGAGCAGGGTCAGGTTGTAGTCACCTGCGGGGACAGGCCCATGCGACAGTGCTGAGGGGCCGCCTCCCCCAGCACTAAGGGGGTCCCAGGGCCCTGCCCTCACCTGGGGTGACGTAGGTGTGCGCGGTCTTATGCTCCACCAGCACCTGGGCCACCGTGGGCTCCGGGATGAGGAAGGACTCGTCATAGGGAGGCTTGAACTGGCCGAGCGCCTGCTCCCCATCCCCAAAGGTCCACCTGGAAGAGCCCGGCAAGGACTCAGCAGGCGGAGGCCACTGGACCCTGGCTTCAGCCCCGCCTCATTCAGGTCCTCCGCTGCCCTCAGGGCGGCCCGCTCAGCCCGCCCTCATTCACCGCCTCCCCTGCCCTCAGGGCCGCCCCCCTCAGCCCGCCCTCATTCACCGCCTCCCCTGCCCTCAGGGCCGCCCCCCTCAGCCCGCCCTCATTCACCGCCTCCCCTGCCCTCGCGGCCGCCCGCCCTCGCCCACTCACAGGAAGGCCACCTCGACAGCCGTGTCCACCAGCACCCCAGCCGTCAGCGCCAGGGTGGCATTCTGCAGAAGCACAGCCGGCACCGCCGACACCCGCAGCCCTCGCATCCGGTTCATGCGCTCCACGGTGACATTGTAGTTGACAGTGACATTGCTCACGTGGTTGGAGGCTGTCAGCTACAGAGACAGGCGTCACCGGGTGTGGCCCCTCAGCAGAGAAGACAGCAAGGGACCCAGCTGTGCCCCAACACACCCCGCCCAGCCACTGCGGGGTCTCCAGGAGCAGAGCTAAGGCAGGACGGATGCCACGCGCAGCCGCCGGCCCCACCCACCGAGAGCTTAAAGATGGCGGTGCTCTGGTAGATGACGTTGAAGACAGCGTTATGGAAGGTGAGCGACTGCTTGTCATCGATGGTCCACTGGAAGACCACGTCCGAGCCGCCGTCCACGGCGGGGCTGTACCTCTGCAGACAGAGCACAGGACAGCTGGGTCAGGACGAGCCAGGCCAGAGTCCACACAGCCCCGTTGCCCGCCCGGCCCGTACCACCCACCCAGACACCACAGGACAGGCGAGAACGGAGGTCACGGCCAAGCCTGGTCTCAAGCCTGAGCTTGCAGCTCCCAGCCGTGGCCCCAGTGACACCCCTAACCTCTGTGCCTCAGTCTCCCCTGTAAGACAGTCCGAGGACCAGCAACAGTTAACCTGTTGGAGTCCCTCTAGACCTGTCGTCACCCGGGAGGTGAGGGCCCCATACGGGCTACATGTGGGCTACAGGTGACCACAGAGGGGGCCCCACGCCCATACTCACCACCAGGACGCCCTGCAGCACGCGGGAGTCGGGGCTGGGTGTGGCGCGGAGGCCGCGCACGGGCTCCTCAGCTGTCACCTGCAGGCTGAGGCGGGCCTGGCTGACGCTGTTCTCAGCCACGACCTCCACAGTGTGCTCACCCTCGCCGAGCCCAGGCAGGACCAGCACCGAGAACAGCGTGCCGTTGGCTTCACGGGGACAGCCCGGTGCCAAGGCGTCCAGCACAGCAGGGCAGGCAGCCTCGAAGCGGGCACTGGCATCGCCTCCAGGCCAGCGGGCCGAGGCCGTGGCGTTGCTGCCAGCATCCACCGTGAGCACCAAGACCGAGTGCTTGGTGGGCACATACAGGTGGCCGTCAAGGGCGGTGGGGTGAACGACGCGCAGCCCAGACACAGGGGAGGCCACGGTGAAGCTGCAGGTCAGGTTGTGCGTGGACACGCCGTTGCTCACCACGGCCCGCACCGCATAGCGCCCAGGACGCTGCAGCCCAGGTTTGGGGCTTGGGCCCAGCAGCGGGGTGAGGCGCTCCGTGGCTCCGAGCAGCCGCAGGGCGCAGGCCAGGCCAGCGGGGGCGTCATCCAGCTGGGCAGGCAGGTGGGGCAGCCAGGCCGATGCATTGGCCGAGAGATAGGGGGCCTGCAGGACAGGGGAGCCGAGGGCATGGGGACAGTGCAGGAGGGCACCCGGGCCGGCGTCATGCTGCAGGGCAAGCAGGTCACCAGGGAGCAGGGGCACGTCCTGGCCTTGGAAGGTGACCTGCAGAGAGGAGAGTGGAGCTCCAGCACGCCCCCCCACTGTGCTGCTGGTTGGGCACGGGCCGCTAGCCTGGGCTCTCAGAACTCAGCAGTCACCCCACATGCGACCACGTGCACGGGGCCTTCTAGTGGAAACAGGCTGCTGTGCCACGGTCAGGACGGGGCCACGGACAAACGGACACAGGCAAATGAACACACAGAGTTGTGAGAAGTGCCACCGCGGAGACACGGACACGCACAGCCTTGAGGTGCCAAGGGGGAGATGGGTGGGGAGAGGACAGGGGTAAAAAGGGGCTTCCCTGGGCAAGGGAGGGCCCCCCAAGGGGACACTAAGTCCAAGACTTACAGGGAGGATGAAGCCAGCACTGAGATGGGCAGAGGCAGCACCTCCGTGCTGGGGACGCAGGAGGGGACCAGTGAGTTCAGGCACCGCTGAGCCCCGGGGTGCAGGGAGCGATGCGAGCCCAGTGGGCTGAGGGGAAGGGTCTGCAAGCCACGTGTCCAGCGGGGAGACCCTGGACCTGGGTGCCTGGGGAGACACGCACCGAATACTGTGTGGGGGGCCCCGCAGGCACAGACAGGAGGAACTCCCTCCACAGCACGTAGGTGGCTCCTGGGAGCCCGGGCCCCAGAGCGGGCCCGTCGGTGCAGGCCTGAGGGTGGCCCGACGTGTTCAGGGCCACGCAGACGTTGCCCGCAGGGCACCAGCTCCCCTCTGGTGTGCACGCAGGAACCAGCACAGTGCCGTTGTCCAGGAAGCCCCTGCCCCGCTCACTGCTGTTCTGGGGAGCCCCTGCAAGGAGCAAGGGGAGGGGTGCCCAATTCACCAACAGGGCCCAGTCCACAGTGCCCTCATACCAGGCCCACCTTCCACCCCCACCCCCACCGGGGCTGAGGGGAGACGTGAGAGATTGGGGCACCCCGTGCCTGCAGCCCCACCTGCGCTGCCCATGGCCCGAAACACTTGCAGCCGCAGCTGGGCTGGCCGTCCCAGCAGCTGGGTCTCGAACTCGGCCGCAGTCAGAAAGGCCTCACGCCGCAGGTTCAGGGCAGGGAACACCATCACCTGCGCACAGGGCCCTACTCAGCTCGCAGACCCAGTGCCCGCCCACTGCACCCAGACCCCGGGGAAGGCAGGGATGCCCCAAGTGTGCCCACTGGGCTTGTTCAGCTCTAGCCAGGCCCCGAGAGCTGTCTGGGGCGGGGTCTCGGCGCTCCAGCTACCTCAACTGGTTCCTGGGGGGCCTGGAGGGCCTCCTGCTGCGCCAGGGGGCTCAGGGGTCCCTGCAGGTCCCCACTGGGTACTCCCACGATGACATTCTCAGCATCCCACACAGGTCCTGGGGATAGAGGCTAAAGTGAGGGTGGTGTGCACACAAGGAGTGTGGACCCAAGACGGGCCTGCACCCCTGGCCCCGGCCCCCACGGGCAACAGGGACTCAGCGAGCCTGGGGGCGGGGCAGGATGGGGTGATTCATGGACACCGGCCCCACGGCCCCCACGCACCGCCAGGCTGCAGCTCGCAGACGTAGCTGTGCGGCACGGAACACAGGTCAGTGTTGCATTGCCCAGCGGGCCCAAGACGCACACAGTGCTCAGCCGTGGCGGGGTGCGGCTCCCCGGGCAGCCAGTTCTGGCAGCTCTCCAGGCTAAAGGCCTCGCCCTGCGGCACCGTGCCCACCGGCCCCGCCACAGCCGAGAAGCCGATCCACACATCCAGGCTCCTGTGGGCAGGCGGGCAGTGGGTGGGGCAGCCAGACACCCCTTCTGCCTCCCGAGCTCCAGATGGAGAAACTGAGGCTCAGAGATGGGACCTGGAGAACACCACCTGAACCCAACTGCCACACACATGGGGCCAGGAGGCCAAGCTGAGGGCTCCTGGGGTGGGGTGGAGGGGATGTCGGAGCACATGATGGCCCCCAAGCCAGAGGCCCCCAACCCACCACTCACTTCGCCTAGCTCCTGGGTCCAACCCTGGGGGCCAAAACAGCCTCACGTCAGCCCAAGTGGACTACTCTCTGCAGCCCTGCCACCCTGGGATCTCCCCTAAGAGGAAGAGCTTGAGGCCAGGTGTGGATGCAGGTGTGGGAGAGGCTGGGGGCGCTGTGGGCTGCAGGTGCAGCTGTGGAGACAGACAGGTGTGGCAGGTGGACAGCTGGGGTGCGGGGCCGTGGGGACGGGCAGGTGGACAGCTGGGGTGCGGGGCTGTGGGCAGAGTCGAGCTTGGGAGAGGAGACACAGGCTCCGGGGGGCGGGGGGGGCGGCACCTGGTGACTCGGGAGATGAGGAAGTGCTGGATGGCAGGGCTGTCCACCATGGCCAGGGCGGCACCCGCCCAGGCCTGGCACTGCTCCTGGGCCTGCGACCAGGGCGCCTTGTCCGCCACCAGGCGGTAGCAGTGTCCATTCTCAGGAAAGATCTCGGTGTCCGAGGGGCAGAGGGGGTGCACCGCTGGGTCACAGGTGGAGAACCGGACGTGAGTGTGTGCCACCCGGGGAGGCCACGACGGGGGGTGAGGATCCTGCCTGACCCCACAAGGTTCCCAGGGGCCTGGCAGGGGAGAGACACAGGAGGAGGGGTCCCCAGGGTCCCAGCTGGGGGCTTTGGGGGTGTCCTAGGGCCCAGTGGGTAGGGTGCACCCACACCTCGGGCTGCCTCCTCATCCAGGACCTCGATGCGATAGGTGGCCTCGAGGCCGGTGCCGCCCCGGTTTCGGACGCCGAGCTCCAGACTCTGGTAGGTGTGCACGGGGGAGGGGCACCAGAGCTCCAGGCCAACAGGGGCCGCCTCCACCCGCACCTCAGTGGCCAGCTGGGCGGAGGCGGCCCCTAGGGCCAGCTGGGCCGTCACCTGGTAGCGCCCAGGCAGCAGATAGCGGTGTGTGGCGGCCGCCCCCGTGATCACCACGGGGGAGCTGTCGCCAAAGTCCCAGCGCACAGAGCTGACGGGGAGAGGGGCAGTGATGAGGAAGGCTGCCGGGCGGCCAGCAGCCAGGGCCTCGAGGGGCGACTGCAGAGTGGCCCCTGGAGTGGCAGGGAAGACACGGGGGAGCAGGGTGGGGCCCCCACAGGCGGGGGGCGGCAGGGCGCCAGAGCAGAAGGGCAGGCAGGCCACAGAGGCGTTGGGGGGCTGGGCTGCTCCACACAGACACAGGCCCTGCTCGGAGAGCGCGGCCAGGCCCTGGCCCACTGAGAAGCAGAGGGCGCCACAGGCCTCGGGTGCCAGCGGGTCCTCACCAGCCACCGAGAGGGCCGCCAGGGCCACGGCAGCCGAGCTGTTGTCAGGGAGGCAGGCGATGTACTCCTCACCTGGAGAGCAGGCAGGGCTGGGGGCTGGGCTCCCAACACCCCACACTGCAACCCCCCACCACCACCGCTCAGCCCATCCTGGACCCAGATCTGACCCCCGATGGGCTTTTCCGGCTGCGGTGGGCAGGGCCTTCCCACGCGGCAGGGTCCTGGGCCAGGCCTCGGTCACAGCCCCCTTTTATCCTCCCTCTGTGACTCTCCCGAGGTCCCCGCCCACGGACACACCTGTGCCGTCACTGCCTGGCCCCGGTCCTGCCTCACTGCCCGTGACACTCACCACAGCCACCGTCCAGGAAGGGGACACTGAGCAGGGGCCGACCTGCCAGGGGGCCCGGCCCGGCACACGTGGGCCCCTCGGGCCGCCCCAGACGCACCCCCTGGGCCTCTGCCCAGCGCGGCAGCCAGGCCAAGCTGCAGTCACACTCAAGCGGGTTCCCGCTCAGGTCTCTGTGGAGGGGGACGGGGCCGCCTCAGCAACACTGGGGCTGCACCAGGGCTGGGGACCCTCTGACAGGGGGCCACTTCCCACTCCCCCGCAGTCCTGGAGGGGGACCCAGCAGGCGGGCCCCCGGCACACAAGCCCAGACTCACATGTCACTTAAATTAAATAAATTAGCAAACGTTCCTTCTTCTAACGTGGAGATCTTGTTGTTGCTTACATCTCTGCCAGAAAGGAGGGGCGGGCAGGTCAGGTGGAAGCTCCCCTGAACCCGGCCCACCCCACCCGGAAGTCCCACCGCCCACGGGTGCTCACAGCTCCGTCAGTGCCGAGAGGTTCGCCAGGAGCCCCATGTCCAGCGCCCGGAGCAGGTTGTGGGAGACGTCTCTGGCAGAAGGCGGTCGTGGTCAGTGCTGGGCCCAGAGCCCTCACCTCGTCCCAGGAGCCCTGCGCCCCAAGTTGTGGCCCCTGCCCTCAGCTTCCCACCCGGGGCCCGGAGGGGTCTCCTCTGAGGCAGGACCCAGAGGAAGGCTCATCTGGGGAGACAGCCCGGAGGGGGCTACAGCCCCTTGGCACCTGGCCCACCTCCTAGAGGACCATGTGGGAGGCCCGCCAGCGCCCGGCACCTGCACAGCCACGGCTCCACCCCAGCCCCCGGTTCAGCTGGGTGGTCCCACCCCCACTGTCCCCATGGGCCCGGGCACTGGGGGCACAGTGGTTAGGGGCTGGTGCACTCGGCCGTCCACGCACAGGCCCACTGGGCCCTCACTGCTCCTGAGAGACGGCAAAATGATGGCATCAACAAGGGGCCCACTACATAACCCAGCACAGGGGAGGTCCCACGTTCAACCCTTCAAGGGGCATCTGGAAACAGAAAGGGCAAGAATGGGCCAGAGGCCGTGCCAAAGGAGTGCACAGCCCTTCAAACGGAGCTCCGGGCGCTGGCAAGGTGCAGTGACAGGCGGCAGAGACGTCCCTCCCTCCAGACACCCCCACGGCATCCTGACCCCAGAGCAGCCGCACAAGATGGCAGTGGGGCCAGCGATGGCTCCGGGCCCGGAGGTGGAGCCGGATGTCAGTAATCCTCCAGGACCAAATGCAACCACAGCTTGGAGCCAAGAAGTACTAAAAATACAGCAGACTTCGCGGGCGCCCCACGCTGGGAAAACAACTAGGGGCAGAAAGGAGTACCGAACGGTAACCGACTAAACTACTTAAAACTTGCAACTTCCACCCAAAATATCGTGAATAAAACTAGAAAACACACTACAAGCTGGGAGAAGTGCTGGTAACTGAGCAGGCAAGGTCGACTTTGCAATGACAAGACCACGCCAATGGGAAAAAAGCCAACGACAAAAAACGAGCGAGTAACAAGACAAAAATGAACGGTCACACTGTGACAAACACGACGTCCGGGTCCGGTGCCGGCCCTCGGCCCTCGCTCGCTCCCCACGAGGCCCCGCGCGGGCGCCGGCGTAGTTGTGCTGGCTCGCCCCCTTGTGGGGAGCCCGGAGACTGCAGCTCCGACACCCTGGGCCTGTTTGCCCCGCGACAGCCCCCTGCCCGGCCATCTAGTCCCAGGGGGAAGCCGCGCGAGTGTGTGTCCGTCAGGACGTCCATCCCAAAGCGGTGGGAGGAAGAGGAGCAGCGACGCGCCGGCAAACCCCGCCGCCCTCCACACCCGGCCGCGGGAGGGCGGTGCCGAGCTGTGCTCCTCCGGGAACACCGGTGCCCTCGGCTTTCGGACTTTCCGGGATGAGCACACCTGCCTCTTAAATTAGTGGGGGAAAGGGCAGCCCAGCTTTTGGGGGCAGACAGGCGGGCTGCCCCCACACCCACCCTCCTGCACACATGGCTCCACCTCCAAGGGCCTAGGAAACACTCTCGGGTTCAAGGTCGCCCATCCGCCTCTAGGGCACTCCTGTCCACACTCATTCCTGAGCCCCTGGGGGGGACAGGGGCACGTGGACGCCTGCCCCCTCACCCCCTCAGACAGACCCCTCCAGGGCAGATTCGGGGAGCCACGCCGGGAGCGCTGGCTGCAGAACTGCCCCGGTGGAATGGGCTGGTCCTTGGCACCGCCTGGTCACCCTGCGTCCCGTCCCCGCTGACCCTGCTGCTACAGGCAGGAGCCCGGCTCTTGTGCCACCCGCACACCCAGACAAGGCGGTGCAGGCTCCCCAGCGGGCCTCTCCCCACTGCTGTCCTGGGCAGCTCACATCCACATCTGTCCACCTCTGGTCAGGCAAGACGTCTGAGAGTGCGATACCATGAGAAACTTCAGACTCCAGCAGGGACTTCCCGGTGGCTGGAGTAAGAGTGGCTGTGGGATCGGTCTTTGAGGAGAAATGGGATGAGGCCTGGGGAGGAAAGGGGGAGCCAGGGGAGTCCCCAGTGCAGAGCCAAGGCCTGGGCGCAGCCGGGACACAAGGGTAAGAGGAGACGAGAGATGGGAGGGCAGCCAGGGGTCCACCTGGCGCCTCCCCCACGCAGACACCTGCCCCCGCGTGGGCACTGGGGTGCTGGGCGCCAGGGCAGACCCCCAGCTCCAGCCTGGGACGGAGCAGGAGACAAGGAAGAAAAATCTCAAAGAGGCTTCCAACCACCGTTTTCTGGAAAACCCACCGTGAGCGGCCGTGACGGGCACGTGTGCACCCGCCTGGTGCCTCTGTCCTCTAGCCCTGTGGCCCCAGCCGTCTCTCCACCCTAAGAGCCTGGGCCCACTGTGGATCCGGGAGCCCCGACCAAGGCCACCTCCCCCCCCAGTGCCTGACACCCAGGGGGCCTTGGGGCAGCCATCCCAGTGCCCGTGGCCGTCCCAGTGCCCACAGCCTCAGCAGCAGAACCAGGACACAAGAACGGTCACAGAGGCTGCACCATAGGCCCCAGCATGGCCCAGGGGCAGGGACGGCGGCCCGTGGCAGACCAGAGTGACGTGACCACTGGGGACAAAGCGGGTGCTAGGCAGGAGCCTGGGGGTCCAGTTCAGCCCCACTGCCTGCAGCGCGCCCCACTTTCACGTCTCCATCTGCTCTGCTGTGGCCCGCCCCCAAACATGGGAGGCCTGAGATGGGGGGGCACGGCTGCCCCTGCAGCATCTGGGTCAAGCCAGGCCACCCTCTGGGCCGGTGACAAGCCCCCAGCTGAACCCTGCAAGGCCACTCCCAGGCCTGAGCTGACGACTTTCGGGGCTGGAAGGGAGCAGCCCAGCTGGGCACGGGGGTGACTGGGGGTCCCACTTGCTAGAGGCAGATGAGCCACCTCAACAGCAGATGAGCCCAGTCTGCACCCAGCGATCACTGGGGAGCCCAGTCTGCTCCCGTCTTCCACATCATCACCCCCACAGGAAAGGGCACCCCCCCACCACTCTGTGGGGTGCCCTGCAGGGAACTCAGACCCCAGTGTCCTTGGGCTCACATTCCCTGTGGGGAATCCCTGCTCCAAGCAGAAAGAAGAGTGGGGTAGCCCCTTGTGCCACCAGAGCCCCCATGTCCCCACCACCTGGTCACATCCCAGGCCAGGTGTGAGTGGGACGAGCAGGACTGGCTCGAGGTGCTGCCTTTGGTCCCAGATGGCGCCTCAGCAGAGGGAGACGGACAGAAGCAGCCGGGGCCTGGGCGGCTCAGGGGTGCGTGCCGGGGTGCAGGTGGGGAGCACTGTCAGGCGGGGGTTGCAGAGGCGGAACAGGGCGGGTCCGGACAGGCAATGACTGAGCCCAGGTGGCTTTAAAGACTGTACCCCCATCCCCATTCCAGAGACCCTGCCACCCCAAACAGCCTCAGTTTCCTGTTCTGCCAAGAAGGGGAGCAGACATGGGCGGGGCCTGGGGGCCGCCAAGCCCCCAAGGGCACATCTGCACATTCCAGACACATGTGGTCAGTGGGGCGGACGGTGCCACCCCACCCCAGCGCTGGCCGCCGCACTGGAAACAGGGCTGGGGGCTGGGCTCCGAGGTTGTCGCCCGCCAGATGTTATGTAACTGCTCCTGGAGCCAGCGTGCCTCCTCCCTCTGCCAGGGGAGGGCACGGCTGCCTCCCCCCTGGGCCCAGGGCTCCGTACTGTCCCCGATCAGGCCTGGGACTGTGGCCTCGGCCTCCCTGGTGGGTGGGCCACCCTGTCTTCTCCGAGGGCTCCACAGATGCCAGCAGCGGGGACCCAGCCCCTCCCAGAGCCAGGGCCGGGGAAGAGAGGCTCAGTGTCCGTCCACCAGTCCCCTGGAGCAAGCAGCCTGGCCTTCCCACCCTACCCAGCCCGACAGTCAGCTCTGCCGACCGCCCCTTCCCACCGAGGCCAGTGGCGCACGGGGTGTGCAGGGGCGGATGGGGGTGTGAGAGCGGGGTGTGCTGCGGGGCTGGACAGGGTCATGGGTGTGTGTATAGGTAAGATGAGCAGCTAGAGATCTGGGGGTGCATGGGGTGCATGGGTAGATGGAAGAGTTCAAAGGAAACTTGGGGGGGTGTGGGTGGTACACGGGGGTCTGTGAGTGGTACACAGGGATGCGTGAGTAGTACACAGGGGTGCACAGGGGTGCGTGTGGTACATGGGGGTACAGGGGTACGTGGGTGGTACACAGGGGTGCATGAGTGGTACACAGGTGCATGGGTGGTACACGGGCACACAGGGGTGCGTGAGTGGTACAGAGGGGAGCGTGGGTGGTACATGGCACACAGGGGTGCACTGGTGGCACACAGGGGTGCATGAGTGGTACAGAGGGGTGCGTGGGTGGTACAGGGGGGTGGGTGGTACATGGGGGCACACAGGGGTGCGTGAGTGGTACACAGGCACACGGGTGCATGAATGGTACAGGGGTGTGTGTGGGTGGGTGGTACAGGGGGGTGCGTGGGTGGTACAGAGGGGTACATGAGTGGTACACGGGCACACAGGGGTGCGTGAGTGGTACAGAGGGGTGGGTGGGTGGTACATGGGGGCACACAGGGGTGCGTGAGTGGTACACAGGCACACGGGTGCGTGGGTGGTACAGTGGGGTGCATGGGTGGTACGGGGGTGTATGAGTGGTGCACAGGGGTCCACGGGGGGCACCGCTGGGATCCCAGGGCCTCTGCCTCCGGTGCAGAATCCCCTCCCTGGCCAAGGGCAGGTGGGCTCAGGCCCCACTGCCAGGACCTGGTGGGAATTCAGTTGAGTTCACTTGGTTTCCATCTCCTCTGCTCCCCAGTTCCCGAAATGACCGTGTTTAAATTAATGAGTTCAAGCTTAAGAGCAAGTCGATTTGAAAAAACACATGGAGTGCATAGTGTCGAGAAGTACGGGGGGCCAAGGCCCAGGGACTTGGGGAGCAGGGTCCCAGCAGCAAGGACACCACGCAGCCCCTCAGAGGGTGGACAACAGGGAGGCCCCACAGCCTCGGGGCATGCAAACAGAGGGGACCCCCTCATTTACAAGACTCCACCTGGGTTCTACCCATCCCTCAGAGACCCCTACAGACACCAAGGCACTCCAGCGTGGGCTGCACCAACCCCCGACTGAACCAGCACGGAGAGGTGATGAGGTCTGGCGAGTTGATGAGGCCCGACTGGCAGGGACAGGGAGGGGAGGCAGGTCAGGCTTGAAGGTCTGAGCTGAGGGACCACCCCCGGTGATGACAGACCCAGAGACACTGACCTATAATAGTGGGGGGGGGGGGCTGTGAAGGAGGTTCTACCCAGGAGAGCCCCCCCCACCTGGGGCAGGGCCTCGGGCCCACACGGGGCACCAATGCCACATGGGACCGAGGCTGGGCCGCACGCCCCCACCCCACCCGTGAGGATGCCAGCCTCCAGGCTGTGCACTGGCCCAAGCGCCCGGTGAAACCAGGGCTCCTGGACACGTGCACAGCCCGTGTGCACAGCAGGGCTCCAAGCCCCGCCCTTCCTGTGGGCCCCTTCCTCGTGGGCACCCACCCCTGCCAGTGAGCCCATCCGGCATAGCCTGGGGTGGCGCCAGCCCAAGTCCAGTCTGGGGGCTCAGAACCCCCAGAAGCTATCTCATTCCCCAGGCTTCCCTCCCCCAGAACAGAGCCCCTGGGGGGCCCCAAGAGACCATGAAATGGACTCCAAGCTGCCTCTGGGCGAGGGCCTGCTAAAGCCAGGACCCCAGCTTTGCAGGACCGCCGCCTCTCCCTGGCGCCTGGCCTCTCGAGGCCTCTTGGCAGCCGGCTGCCAGGCCTCCAGGAGGAACACGGCGTCCCTGGGACCAGGACATGAGCCGAAGTGTCCAGCTGCATCTCGTTCTGCAGCGAGACGCACACTGAGGGACCAGCACCCCACCACACACGGCCACCCTGGGCCGGAGACGCACAGGCACCCCCAACAGCAGGCCCAGGGCGGGCAGGCCGGGCCATCCAGACTCCCGCTGCTGGCGCTGGCCCCCGCGGAACGTTCCGGAAAGGAAAACGTGTGTCTGTCCAGAACGGTTTCTTCCGTTGAAACCAAACCCAGCCAATCTCCCCAGAGCCAGGGTCTCCGCCCCCACGCCCCACTCTGCAGAGGCACCCAGAGGGGGGACGCACGGGGGACGGAGGACCACTGGCCAGGGGGAGCCTGGGGAGGGGCTCGTGGGACTGGACCCCCATCTGGCAGCTGCGGCCCAGGAGGCCGTCTCTGAGCCAGGTCAAGGTGGATGGCCAGGCAGGGGACCCAGAAAGAGACACCTGGGGCTGGGCCTCTGGAGGGGGAACCGCAGGGCGAGACCTGGGACGGGAAACAGAGTCACATGGGCGTGGCACGAGTTCTCCAGCTCCTTCCTTCCTGTCCCGCCGGGAGACAGCGCGCAGCCGGCGCTCACGTGTCTAAATCCATGGTGTCACGTGCAGTCACTGGCAGGCGTAAGAAAACGCACACACACACAGACACCATGCACAAGAGGGAAGGCCCCCAGCCGGCCCCGTGGCCCTGGCCGACGGTCCGACCGTCCGAGGTCAAGCGGGCAGGAGCAGACGTCCTGGAAGGCGGGCCGCCCTACACGTCAGGGGCGGGGTTCCTTCTGAGGGCGTGGCTCGCCATGATGTGCCCATGACTGCGCCATTTTATGTTCCCGCAGGCGGTGGATGAGGGTGCCACCTTTCCACCTCCTCACTGACGCCTGTCACGCCCTTCTTGTTGCCTGTAGCCATCCCAGGGGGAAGTGGCATTTCACTGGGTTTTGTGTTTGTTGCGCAGGGGCCTGTGTGCTGCACGACGCTGGAAGCCCTGTCACCAATGCTGCAAACATGCACAGGGTCCCCCACGGCGTTCAGTAGCGCTCCCAAACTAAGAGGAGGAGGAAAGCCCTGGTGATCTACTGCCACAAGCAGCCACTGCAAACCCTGGGAATCACAACGGACCTCCGTGCACAGGAGCACGGGAAGGCTTCCATGAAGACTGACAGCCT